TCTTAACTAAAGTCCTCTTGAATGTAGCTATATAAAGTGGTAATCACGTGTAAGGATAGCACAAATTGAATTTAGGATTTATTTTTTGTCTTGTATTTTGATTGATCACTTATTGAGCTTCTTGGGGGGTATAAGACATTTCTATTCTTGGAGATAAAAAATTAAGTCAATCTGATATTACAGTCATTCTGCTTTTCATCTAAATATTTCTATTTTCTGCATTAGGAGGAAATGATCCATATACCTGCAGAAATACCCGCCCCAAACCTAAGTATTTTGGAGTGTGTTTCCCTTAGGTTAAAAAGCATGCGTTGTGTAACCCATATATTCTTTAATGCATTTGTGTGGTTTGGTATTAAAAAAAATGACTATATGTGCACGACAGCAGTACTATCTTTGCTTTTCTTTGGTCAAAGTTTTCTGTTTATTTTGCTTGTCATTTTCTATGTACTTTAAAAAGGTGTCTTTATGAAGTTTGCTGTTCTGACAATAAACTTTTAGACTTTGGAAATTTCTGTGTTTTGATTTTTATTTTTAAAGGTTTTTTTTTTTTTTTAATACAGGGTCCCGCTATGCAGCTCGGACTTATAGTGATCCTTCTGTCTGAGCCTCCTTGGTGCTGGGATTACAGTTTTGGGGCCAGCACGATGCACCCAGGGTTCTGGGGCTGGCATGTCATAGAGTACCAGGGATCAAACCCAGGTCCTTGTACTTGCCAGGCAGGTGCTTATACCACTGAGATAGCTCCCAGGTCCCTGTGTTTTGATATAATGTTTATACATACATTTAATAGCAGCTTTTTCTTTATTGTACATCTTTATTCTTTGTTTACTAAATATCCCAATACCAAAAAAAAAAAAAAAGCCATTAAAATACTGTTCTGGCTTATAATTTTTTGTTAGAGGATGGTCTTGTAAAGCTAGTTCTTTCAACACATGTTTACCTGTTGCAAACTAGATGGAGTCCTTAGAAGGATACCCATGGAGATAGGCCATTCCAGAGGTCAACACTGGTCTGGCTAATTCTGGACTGTACCAGAAGCACTGGCAATGTCACTATCAACACTGAAAGGTCATGAGAAGGCTAAGATACTTCCTTTTTTTAGTATTCTCAAAACAGCTAATGTTTTGCCCCCTAAAAGGAAAGATTTGTCCTTGGATCTATGAACACAGTCCTTGAAGAGCTCTTGGCTCTGGGATGAAGGACAATGGAATATGAGCTGTTCTGTTGGGTCATAAAAGAAGTACTGAAATCCAATCATTAAATTAATATGACTTTATGGGACACCGCTCATGGCAAGTAGTGGGTTGGATATTGCAAAGATTCAGTGGAATTTACTAGCTTTGTCATGGCAAGATGTTTGCAGTGTAGGGATAGGAGACAAAGGCAACAAGTGGGATAACTTTCACTTGCTGTTTATGTTTATAGAATTAAATCATAGTACTGACAGAAAATTAGAAGGCAAGTAAATGGCAAATATACAACAAAAATTATCAGTATCAGATACCAAAGTTACTGGGGACCTGAGTGGGCCATTTTCCTCACATGTCTCATCTCACCTCTCTCTTTTTTTTTTTTTTTTGCAGAACTGGGGATTGAACTCAGGCCCTTGCGCTTGCCAAGCAAGCGCTTATCCTACTGAGCCATCTCCCCGGGTCCTCATCTCACCTCTTTCCTCCCTTTGGCCCCGTCTCACGGTTTTAGGGCCTGAAATTAATTTCATTCCCTAAGTAATTGAGTTCTGTGTGCCATACCTCGTGCCAGCCACGGATCCCCTGCTAGAAATACGTGGTACAACAATAGCCTGCGTAATCTAGGAGGAGGAAGAGACACAAATGCTGTTGGTGGGAAGCAGGGGTAATAAAGTTCCTGTGCTAGAGCTGGGAGACTCAGTCACACCAATTATCACTGCAAGATTCCACAAACTGCAGGGCTTAAAGAAATAAATATTTTCTCACAGTTGTGGAGGCCGGAAGTCCGAAGCTAATCTGCTGTCAGTGTAGACTTCTGGTGAGACGTTTGCTCCGGGTCTGTGTGACAGCCTAATGTGTGTTCAAATCACTTTCTCTGACTAAGTAGAGAGGAGAGGGGTAGTTCTGGTCTCAGGTAAGGACATCTGTTTTACCCTTACGATTTGGTTACAGTATTGACCTTAAAGGTCCATTTCCAAGAGCATCCACACTGTGGTTAGGGTCCCAACCCAGGAACTTCAGAAAGTTCCAAGTCAGTCTCTAAGAAGAGTCCAACGTAGAAGAGGTGACTGGAGACCACTCCAGGAAAGTGACGATTAGACAGCTCAATAGCACCAATGTACAGCAGTCCACCAGGAACTAGAAAGGGGTACAGATTTTCTCTGCCCTCTCCAAGATGGTATCAGAGTTATCCCTAACCTCTGAGATAAAGTGGGACTGTGTCCTGCAGAGAGAACATGCTTGCCCTTTGAGTTTTGTTTCACATACATAGTGCATCTGGAGGGGGGAAATACATGTAGTATTCAATAAGAGTCATCAGAGGTATCCAAAATTGGCTTTACAGTTTACAGATGCTGTGGCTACCTAGGGACATGCTGATAAAAAGTAAAGATACTGTGGGCAGACTATAAAACAAATTGCTAGGGCCGGGGAGATGGCTCAGTGGAATAAGCGCTTCTCTGGCAAGCGCGAGGACCTGAGTTCAATCCCCGGTTCTGAAAAAAAAAAAAAAAAACCAAAAAACAAAAAACCAAAAAAACAAGCAAACAAAACAAAACAAAACAAAACAAATTGCTGTGGAACTCATTCTTTGTCCTGCAGCTGCTGACCCACTTTGGTATTTTATGGTGCTGCCTAGCTACAATGTGTTTCAAAGGTCAGAACTAGGCTATTTACATTTGGGTATAATTGCTCACCATAATGTCCTCCACCCTTCTGTCATCAGGGGTAAACAGTACAAAGGGAAGCACAGGCTTGATTTGAAAAAAAAATATACAAGGGGGTCTATCTTGTGAGTGTCCTTTTTGGAGGGTTTTTCGAGCTGTTTTCGATCTCTCGAGAGAGAGAAATAGAACAACATAAATGTGGGCAAAGCAGATCAGGGAAAGGCTAATGGGACATGCCAGAGGCACCCAGGGGGTAACTTAATGTAGCTTTTACTGACCAAATTGAAGACAATTTGAGTTTCAACAAGAATGATGATAAAGGAGCATTGAAAAACCTCAGGTTGAAACCAGGTGTGGTAGAGCACTCCTGTAATTCCAGCGCTGGGGAGGGTGAGACAAGAGGATCACTATGAGTCTTAACTGCATAGAGAGACCCTGTATCAAAATAAGGCCAGCACTCCCAAACCCATTCCAAGAAGCAGGCATCATCCAAAACCAGAGAAAGAGTCGACCAACAAAGAATGACAAGCCAAGCTCTGTCTTTAACATAGAGCAAAAATCCACAATAAAACAGTGTCAAACAAAATTCACCAAATCATCAAGATGGTAATGTAAGATTCATCCCAAGTGTTCAAGGATGAGGCAACATATGTAAATAAATAAATAGATAAATAAATAAATAAAATGTGATATGCCATATCAGCAGAATCAAGGGCAATAACAATATTATCATCTCTATAGATGCAGAGAAAAGCTTCAGACAAAGTACAACACTCATTCATGACAAAAAAACCTACAGAAAATTAGAATAGATGGTCTTTATCTCAATCTAATAAAATCTTTTTATAGCAACAACAAAAAAGGCCAGCTAAATAGCTCAGCGACTTAAAGCACCTGCTTAGGCAGATGCAGGGCCTGAGGGTTTGATCCCCAGCATGCTGTGCTGGCCCCACCCCTGGGGCATGCTGAGATGGCGATTGAGACTGGGCATGGTGACGTGTGCCTTTATTCCCAGCACTTGGGAGGCTGAAAACAGCAGAATCACTATGAGTCCAATCTGTGTAGTGAGACCCTGTACTAAATACATTAAAATCAAACAAAAAACCCCAAAATAAATAAATAAATAAATACCTTAGGCTTTGAACTCCTCCGTTCCATGGTGATAGAGCAAATGGGGTGTGTGTGTGTGTGGAAAGAATGCCAGTTAATAAATGTAGCGAGCACAATACTGTAAGGGAATCATATTTATAACTTGGAATAAGTGATTCAGTGAAGGATTTGGAGGTAGTTGGGGATCATGATATTCTTACGGCATCAAGATATGTCAAGGTACAGTTACAGATTCCCAATTACTAAGAGCAAAATTTATTATTACAGTAGAGTGATTTAGCTACCACACCAAGCGATCAAATTTAGGTTTACTAAGAGAAGAATATAAGATATATTTCTCTCAGGCATGAAATAAAAGGTACACATATACTATCCGGTGTTCTTGAAAAATTGTTTAAGTTAATTGTGGGGGGGATCTAGAAGGAAGGATATTCTACAAGATAACCAGCTTAAACTCATAACAAAATTTAATAACACTTTAAAATGGAAAGAAGAGACTGTTTTAGATTAAGAGACAACTATTTTATGGATTAAAATAACAAAACATAAAAAGATGGGGGAATTGGAACCATAGATTTAATAGAATTTCTTACGTTTGATCATGCACTGCAGTTACACAGGAAAATTTCTGAAGCTATAATCTGGGGCAAATAATCTGCAATTTGTAAAGAATTCGGCAAAAATAAATTCAGGGCTACGGGGAGAGAAGAGACCTACAGAAGCCAGATGTGGCACAACGTGAAATGGACTAGTGGACAGCGATACGAACGCCCCTTGAACTATTTAAACTTTTCTATCGATATAAATAATTTTTTTAAACATGACAATGAGGAGGGGAATCTCATTCAGGGAAGACGAGGGAAAACGCACCCGGGAGCCGCCACAAGGAAGCGACGTTCGGAAAAACGCCCTTGAAAATGACAGCTCCCGCCCTCCCGTGGGCCCTTCCCTATAGGCTGTTCCAGTCACGTGGAAGTTAGGCCCCGCCCACTCTCCCAGCGGCCCACGCGCCGCGCTCCGTTCCGCCACTTCCTTCCTGCAGGTGGGCAGCGGTCATGGAGGGCCGGCCGCCTCCGTTGGAGGAGCGGCGGCGGCTGCAGGAGGAGCTCAGCGAGTTTGTGGAGAGCTGCTACCGGACGCTGGGGGAAGTGACGGCGTCCCTGGGCTGGAGCCTGGAGCAGCTGGACCCCGGGGAGGAGGAGGCGGCGGCGGAGGGTGAAGTTGTGATATGTCCTTATGATTCCAA